ACTCGCGTATTTATCTGAATATTTACGGTTATATCTCGGTTAAATATGAAGTATTTAACTGAATGAAACAATTTGAATATGAGTTAAAAACTAGTTAAATAAATAAAATATTTTTGATATATCCAGATGTATATAACGGTTAAATATTGGTTAAAAACCAGTTAAATATCAGTTCGAAAAAAAAAAAAAAATTTTTAGTAAATAATTGATATTATATCCACTCTCGTGAATTTAATTTGTTTATAACAGCATGTAATTGTTATAAAAAATGAAAAAACGTCAATAATTGTTGGATTTCAGTTTTTCCAGCGGAATTTGTTTAATATCGACTAGATAAGGTCTCTGATGACACTATATCTACTCTCGCAGATTTAATTTGTTTATAACAGTCTGTCTTTGTCATGAACTCCAAAAATTGAATGAGCGTCAAAAATATAATTCTAAGTTGATATTCGTCTAATAATGGCAGAGATGTAATATTTGATATATAATATATACCAATAAGAGGTATAAATATATCTTTTTTTTCTATAACAATACATGTACTAGAAATATCAGCTCAAGTTGGCCTATATTCAACTGGATTTCTAGCTCGAATTTAGCAGAAAAATGTTTCTTATGAAATTTTTTGGAATTCAATCAATAGTTTATTGATTATAAAACTTATTATACCTTATAAAATCTAACAATTATTGACGTTTTTTTATTTTTTATAACAATTACAGAATCTTATGAACAAATTAAATCTGCGAGAGTAGATATAGTGTCATCAGAGACCTTATCTAGTCGATATTAAACAAATTCCGCTGGAAAAACTGAAATCCAACAATTATTGACGTTTTTTCATTTTTTATAACAATTACATGCTGTTATAAACAAATTAAATTCACGAGAGTGGATATAATATCAATTATTTACTAAAAATTTTTTTTTTTTTTTCGAACTGATATTTAACTGGTTTTTAACCAATATTTAACCGTTATATACATCTGGATATATCAAAAATATTTTATTTATTTAACTAGTTTTTAACTCATATTCAAATTGTTTCATTCAGTTAAATACTTCATATTTAACCGAGATATAACCGTAAATATTCAGATAAATACGCGAGTTATTTTCCTGCTTTTTAACCGAGAAAAAACGGTTGAATTTTGGTTCAATTATTCAACTTGTTTTTAACCATTTTTTTACCAGAAAATAACTGGAATTTCACTTAAATTTAACCGAGTTTTAACGATTTTTCAATCGTAGGATTGCAGCTCCTAGAAACCGCGAGGGTATAGATTAACTATTTATCAAAGATGAAATGGGAACATCTCCTGTAAACAGTTAACCATAATATTTTAAGAATTAATTTGAATTACGCGTATGTCCGATTGTTCGTCAATTTTAATGTGGATAATTCCATTTGGTCATTTACTGTAGGTTAGAATAGTAAATTATGATGCTCGGAATTGAATATCTTCATAACTGGGTCCAAATAAAAAAAAATGAAATAAGCAAAATTCTTTTACACTTCAAAGAACGAATTTGTGATAACAATGTAGTCTGAACTCGATAAAAAATGATTGGGTAGAATTATATGAAATTATATACAGTTCTGTGTAATTGTTTTACATAGAACTGTATTCAAAACTTTAAACGATTGAATCAAATTCTGTACTACGCGACATAAATGATGTCTCAGTTTGTTATAGGAGAGTATAGAGAATTGCATGTATAATCTTAAAAGAAAATCGACAAAATCGGACAATATTTATGTCGCGTAGTGTATACAATTGAATAAAACATTACCAACATGAAATAATTATATAGCATCCTACATATTTTATACAATTCTAAAAAATTCTATGTTTCCAAAAAAATGGAACATGTTATACACTCGGCGTCATTAATGCCTGGTCTATCAAAAACTTTGATACTATCCGAGCAATTATCGATGGAGTAGTTTTTTTTTTCAAACAGAGATTCTACATCTAAATTAATTTACAAAGTTTATGATTAAATACCCTTTCAGATAGTCCCTATAACATTAGAATATCCCGACTAAAAAATTTTCAAACCTCAATTTAAATAATAACAATAAAGTTTAAATCATGATAAATATAATTTGATAATAAAATTAAGTTTATAATTACTATAATCAAACTAACATTAATGGTCACGATTATTTCATAATGGCTGAAGAAGTAAGTTTAAATTATAATTATTATTTAAATTCACTATTATTATTTAAATGGAGGTTCAAAAATGTTTTAGGGGTGATAATCTATTGTTATAGGGACTATCTAAAAGGGGATTTAATCATAAATTTTCTAAATTGATGTAGAATCTCTGTTTGAAAAAAAAAACTACTCCGTCGATAATTGCTCGGATAGTATCACAGTTTTTGATGGACCAGGCATTAATGACGCCGAGTGTATATTCGAGAGCATTAATACCTGATTTATATCTTATGAGCAATTAGCGACGGTGAAAATGATTTTAATTCATATTGAGTTTCCAATCTCGAATTTTGAAGTTTACAGTGAACTGTAAAAATTGTAACATTTTCAATTATCTGCTAAATATGAGTGTGTTTATACGTGAACTCCAACCTAAGTTAAGAAGCTCTAACCTCGATTATGCGCCACCATTTGAGGGTGTTTTCAAATAGATCGACCAAAAATAAGTCGATAATGAAGAATAAAATTTTTCGATATCTCGCTTTGTCTTCGAGATATCGAAGGTCAAAGTTTTTATATACGGATGAGCGAAAAAGAAGACTTCGCTAGAAAAACAGTCGATAAAAGAGATTCCCTTGTGAAGTACATTTCAAAATAAAAGCGCGAATCATTGCAAATAATACTGTTGCGAGAGGTTAAGCGCAACCTGTCAGTTGGACTCGCTCTCGTCCCAGCTCGTGCTCAGTCGAGCTCACCCGATCCGCTCGCCCTATCCTAGCTCTTGTTTCAGCACTCGGCGAATCCTAGCTCTTCTTCTCCAACCTAGCCAACGACGCTCAAGCGACGCTCAAGTACACGTACTCGATCGCTCTCGATCTTTTAGCTCTAAATAAATTAACCCAATCAATAATTTTCGGTTCTTAAAATACAAATACTAAAAATTGACATTGCATACTTTTCAATAGAATCATAAGTAAAAATTAGAAGGAACACTTAATATTCATTTAATCATGTAGCATACCCCAATCCGTGCTTTTCAGGCAGAACCAACTATCAACTAGCACAAAATTATGTAGAATTGTCTCAAGTAGAAAGTAGCATACCCCAATCCGTGCTGTTCAGGCAGAACCAACTATCAACTAGCACAGAATTATGTAGAATTGTCTCACTAGTCGACAGAGCTAACTGATATTTATACTAACATTACAAAAAATAAACATTTACACATTTCCGTTTATGTTTCTAGACAATTTTGGCTAGAAAAAGCTAAATTTCATAGGCTTTTTACACTCGAAGTGCACCACGGAAAGGTATTCTAATTGTCTAATTGTCTAATCGCACTTCATACACAACAGAAGGGGACCCCTCGGCTCGTCACTTCCGAAGTATTTTACGACGCATCTGAATCGCAAAACAAATGACGATTGCAAGTACATCGCGCACTTCAATGCAACACGTATTTCCTTCGAAAAACGTACCAGACGCTGGGTTTATAATTTTTCGGCATGATTTTTCTCTTCTCTTCTTTGATCCTTTTGAAGAACACTTCCATACCCATTTCAGTTTTTTGTCTCCAAAATCCTCAACGAGTATTGGGAGATTACAACATGTCGGTGGTGTTGATTGACGCGACGGAATTAAGCCGATTTCTTCGAGAAAAAAAATTGCTAATTCATTTGTTGTAACAAGTTCTCCAAAAGGATGGAGGAATGAAAAATTTTCTAATTTACTATGTAATTCTGGATGCATACCTGACATTTTGAAAACTTGTAGAAAAGAAAAACAGCAGAAAGAAAATCGACAAAACGAACGATACCGAAGAACAATGGGAACTGATACAAATAAATAATCAACCAATTATTCCACCGTTAGAGATCGTAGTAGATCGGCTTTAATTAATTTTTCCGCCAAAAGATTTCGTGACGTCGTCCGAAGTATTAATTTTTTCTGTTAGATGGCGTGAGAATCTTATTCTAATCAATGATTATATTATCATTCATATTCATTGAAAAACACAAAAAAATTCTTTTATTTCCATCGCTACAAATGATTAATAATGTAAAATTATTAAGATATGCTATAAAATACGTGTTTCGAAATTTGAAACTCTGAACCTCGATATCTCGAAAAAAAAGCGAGATATCGAAAAATTTTATTCTTCATTTTCGACTTATTTTTGGTCGATCTATCTAAAAACACCCTCAAATGGCGGTGCCACGGAAACCGTAGTCGTACCTCGGTTATAACTGCGGCTAAGGTCCACATAAACGCACCTTAACTTTGGTTAACTAACTACGGCCTACGGTAGAGTCTTCCAAACGTAAATAACACGACAGGATGGTTTACATGGACCGAAGAAACACTGAACAACATATGAGACGAACTGTCACTTAACCGCGGAAAAGTACTCCGAAATGAAATTAACCGCGAATGTTTAAAACTGAAAACTGCATTTTACATGGTTCAGTTAATCACACGGAATGAAATTTCAATAATAAAAATTAATTAATGGAATTAATAGTATACAATTGGTTAGCATTTCAGTATATTCAGCAATTCAGCATAAGAAAATTATACGAATTATAAATAATGAGTTAAAGATTTCACCGTAATGGAATCACTCTACTATACTCTACATTACTCAATCATATTTATTTTTATTCGAATACAATTAATTTTCAGCAAATTCTCTGATGACTTCAAGTAATAAGACAGATGAAATGAACATTAATGAAACTAAATATATTTTTTTTCCAATATTAACTTTTATACCTAATTATAAATACGTACATTAATAACAGATTAAAAATTATTTATATCTTGAGACGGGAAAATGACCAATTAAAAATCCGTGATAGTATTACAATATAGACATCGTAATGTAAGATTTTCCTTTAGAGCATTATCTCTAATATTTTTGCACATCTTTTGTAAGTTACGATGTGATTGCAGGCCGTGCATCTTACTTTGGAGAGTCTTACTCTGCACACCTAACAAATATCATCATGAGGTTTTTTTACCTAGTAAATAACTTTATGACTACTTTGACTTTACCTATAGTTGCGGCTTCAACCGGATTAATGACCATTAATTCTTCATCTACAATAATATTGATATTTTGATTGTCTGTCAGCAACGTAGGAATAGAAACATCTGTATACAAAAATAAAATAATAATTATTATTATTATTGCCATCGTGTTCAGTTAAACTAGCCAATAAGAACTGAAACGGTGTACCTGGTAATTCAATTGAATTCAAATCATTCACCCTCATCTGACATGGTTCTAAAAATTCCATCTTGAAATTCATTTCTGCAACAACTCCGTTCATCATCCGACTTGTGTTTTCTAAAAAATTATCAACTGACATTCTATTTTCTTCTATTTTTTTCCAAAAACTTTTGGTGCATTGTCCGTGTCCATGTAATAGTGATCTCACTCTTAGGAACAACGTCACTCTTGCTTTGCTATCATTTTGGAGCCTTTGAATATCATTTTTTTGCGTCATATATTAATTTTGCCAATGATTCTAAAACGAAAAGAATGCATAGAAAATTTGAGTGTGAATTCACAGAGCAATTGGGAAAATTTTTCAAATAATCATAATCATTAATACAATTGGTCATACAAAGCCGTGTTACTTCATCTGTATCATTTATTACGATCTGTAAACCATCAAAAATCTTTGAAGCAGGAAGGAGTACAAGTAAACTTAATTTTTTAATTCAATCATTTATTTGTGATTCATTCCTTTGATTAAAATTCATGAAAGACACTTGTTGATTAATCATCTATAAAATAATAAAAATGCACAAATATATTTAAATATATATTTTCATTTTTTCTATATCCTATTATAGTAGGAATAACAATAAAAATAAATAAGATACTTTTGAGTAGTTTTCGAACGTTCCATTAATTTCTGCATTTGGATATAAAGTTGTTAAAGCTAATTTAATATCAAAGTCAAAATCAGAATAAATAATAGTAGAATGGTGTAATCTGATGAAATTTTCTGATATATACTTTTAAACTGAATACATAATATTATTTTTCCGTTGATTGGTAAGGATTATCGCAACTGGGGAAACCTATAAAAAAAGAGTTATTCACAAATTCAACTCAATTACTAATAAGATTATTAATCATTGAAGCTCTATTCATCTCATGTATTTTACTCACGTAATGTTTATGTTCTACTAAAACATATGTACAAATTGTTGTTCCACATATATCTGGTACTACACGTATTGTCGATGTAACATGAAGTACATCTACTGTAATATTTTTAAATAAATTGGTATCACCAAAAACAATTCCCGTATCGTCATCAGTTGCTGCGGTAGTTATGGAATTTTCATTACCGCACTTACGCAATTCTGAGTTATTTTCATCGTACAAAAAATTAATTATGTCAGAATATTTTTCTGTATTAGGTGTTTTTAATTCATTTCTATTGTTTATCATTGTATGAAAAACAGCGAAATAGAGAACAATTCGAGCTACATCAACAAATCTAAAAATATTGATTTATGTATTATTAAAATGTAATAATATTAACCGGGAAGCCAATCAACTAGGAACAAAATGGCTAACGGATTTCAACTAAAATAGCCAATCGACAATCAAATAGAAATTTTGCGGCTTCCGTAAATGATGAGTTCCGTAAAAATTAATTTTTAAAGAAAGAATTTTTATAAAATTCTAAACCCATCAATAGTAAATGTAAAGATGAATACGAAAATTTTCAGAGTACTCACGTTCCGTTCTTGGTAACTTTATCTTTATAGTACTCATGACCTCCAATTACTCTTTTTTCTTTTCGCTCTCTTCTTATGGGTGGTATTTGAATAAAATTAAATCTTTTAATTAATTTAAATTTGAACTATTTAGTTTCCTCACGTCTATGACTAGATTTTAAGTGGGCCTTAAGTGGTGATTTGGTAGATTCTCGTGACACGGTGAGAATGGAGATAAGACTACTGCTAGAGTGCCCTTGAAGTATGGTTAGAACTCTTTTTGGGGTTTCAGAACTCTTCGGGCTTTCTTTCCTAAGCGTGTGTAGGTGGGCAAACTTTCGGAAACGTTATAGGCTTTTTTTAAGTAAGTTGGAGATGTACACACCCCTCGGAGAATCACTGTGGCGGTGAACTCCTCAACGTATGGATCACTGGAGGTAGCTCTGCTCTACTTAAACGATCCTATTGGGAAATAAAAATTGAATGGGAAAATTGCATCGAAAATTTCCTACTGAATCCTATTGGAAGAGCATTCCCTATAAAAATCCATTGAGCCCCAATCAATTGTCCCACGAAGATGTCCCGAATCCGTTTCAGTTTTTCTACAGAAATAAAAATTTTTCTATAGGATTTTAATATTAACTTTATAATCCTATTCATTTTTTTTCTTTTCTTTTCAACTTTCCAATAGGATGCGATGTTGTTTAATCAGATTTTTATACTTTTGAATTTTCCTATCAAATTATAGGTAAAAATATAGAACACTTTAATAGGACAGATTGTAACTTAAGAGGATTTTGACATGTAACGCATTCCCATTAGATATCTACAAATCCTATTCAACTTTTCAGTAGAATTTAATGTTATTTAATGGGATTTTAACTCTCTGAAAATTTCCCATTGAATTAAAGGTAAACCTACTGAACATTTTGATCTTATAACGGTAAAGTTAAAACCGGTGAAAATACTGAACACCCTTAGCGTACGATACGCTGTGAAAGAGACAGAGCAATACGTTAGCGCTTGGCTATTTAAATGGTGGAAAATTGAGTATAAAATAATTTTTAATTATAATTTATATTTAATTATTATTTTAATTTAATTATCAAAATTTCATCCATTGCAATATTTCCCAATTTAAAATCTTATATGACTGGACTATGCATAAGTATGAAGCAAAATGAAAATAATCGTGTCAATTATAAGTTGGTTCAGTTATTATGCAATAATTATTACATATAATATCTTTGGGCAGTATTGAAATATAAACAATATCAGTGCTCATTAGTGGTCTGGGTGCGATCCGAGAGGTCCACACGACTAACTTCCCAGTGGAAAGAATGATAAGATTCAGTTTTTTACCAGTTATTGATTCTGCAAAAAAATGACTTGACCGATTGTGCTAAAAATCTAATCATACACACACACAGACGTCCACTCAAAAACTATTATGATCAACTCTGGGGGTCTTGAAACGTAAAGATTTTCCATTAAAGCCATCAAAAACCTATCGAAACTTTCTTTTTCTTCATCCGTGGAATCAAACTGTATCTCATTAGGTAGTCTGTTAATAGAAAAATAATTTTCGAGCATTATTTGCCTATAGGAGTCCTTTAAATTCTATAAAAACTTATTGTTTCCTGACCTACAGAATCAGACTCCATCCTATTAGGCAGTTTGTAAATAATAATAATAATAGTTATTGGCACCGTAACATAGAGTCATATACAGCCAGGATGTAGATATAAAATTCAGCATACATTATACATGTTAAGTACAGTTCACATTTTTAAGTATTTGCATTAAACGCATATACAAATATTTTTTTTTCTAAATTATCCATTACAGAAGTAATTGATAATTTTGCCTTATAATACTACAAAAAAAAATATTAATGACGAACCCTGTTTCGAACTAATAGTCTCCCCTTACTCTCTTGAGATCCTGCAATGCATGCAAGCTTACTGGCCTGAAGGGTTTTCACACGCGGAATAATTACGTTTACAATTATAGTAACCTTCACTTTATTCCCTGTCCTCAGCTATAATAACAGGGGATTATTTCCTACCAATTGAGATAGCTGTAAACTCCTAAAGTAAATTTCAATAAAATTGAAAGATTATGGTGAAATAATTAAAGACTATGTTTTGGATATGGGTGGGAAGTTTGGCAGTAAAAGTTACAATATATAATGATGATAATTATGACGCCAGTGTGACCCAATGCTCTGTTTAATACACGCGGTGAAGTGATGTTGACTCACCAGACGCTGGTCAATGATGTTGATGTGTGACTCTGGTTCTGTCCCCGTTGACTCCAGTAGCTTCCAGGCGGGCTTAGAGACTCAAGGACTTGGCGTTGCCCAGGGCCGTCCACCTTCGACCTAGTAACACTGGATGTTCCCAGTTTTCCACTGAAGCTGAACTCAAACTGATACCAATTGTGACGATTTTAGGTGTACGTTGTTTTGTTTGGCGGCTGTAGCCCGACTAACTGCTCGCTCGGTGGCGAGACGCTTTCATGGCTTCAAACCGGCATCGCCTTCTACTCGGAAAGGCTCCGCCTCCTCAAAATTCTTCCAATTTTTTTTACCCATTGAATAATCCTCATTCCTATTTGAACTCATCTTTGATATTCTATGGCATTCCCATGTTTCCGACTCGATTGCCAATTCCCTTTCCATATTTTTATTATTCTATTTGAATTTGTTAATGGGAAAACTCAAATTTTTATGGGATTATAATATTTTTTTTAAATTCCTATTAAAATCGATAATTTCCTATATTTCTCAGGTTGCTCGTAGAAATATTGTAGGTGTGGAAAATCACTGGCTTGCACATAGTCACTTGTTTTTTTGCCCCTTTATTCACAGATATGTAATGTTTTGAACGCACGAGTTCTCACAAAAGTTATTACTCGACGACTCAGTCTACAATAATTGCTACCAGGTCAAGTTTTGGGATTTTTTGTATAAATAGTTTTCTCCTTTCTAGGTTTTAAGTCTTTCTAGAATTTTTCAGGACCTTCGAGGATCGTGCAGGACTATACAAAATTACTTTATTTCATCACAAAGATTTTCGTTATCTATACATCATATGATGTGTTTTGACGTCTATATTAATCATGAGCCATAAGAAAAAGAGTCTTCTAACAGGAATCGAATTTCGTCTATTACAAATTATTCGATTACCCTGAATTATGATGCATTGTTAAGATAGTGTTCGGAAGGAAAATATGTATTTCATCTTTAAAATTTTTCTTATGACTTCAAAAAATTGTAATTATGTAGTTAGGTCTTATTTTTAAATATGATCAACAATGAAAAACGGGATATATGTAATATATTCAAGTTCTCCAATGCGCAATTTGTTCTTTTATTAAAATGAAGTTACCAACCATGTAAAATGAATGGAAACAAGGTTTTTTTCATAATATTATCGTACGGAAATATTTTGCTGATAAAGCTCTGAAATAGTATGAAAACAACTGGGAAATCAGTTAGATATCTCTGGAATACTTTGCTTTTTTATAGAAATATGCTGACCAATTTGTAAACAACTCTTAAAAGTGCTGAAAATCTCTAAAAATATTTTCAAATCACTTCATTAATAGGAACATGCTGTTAGCATTTTTCAGAGATTTTTATGATTTATATTAATGCTTTTTGAAAAAATTTATTTAACGAGTCCAGCAATACATTCAGGTTTTGAAATAAATGTCTTTGAAAACGAAGTTACATTTATTATTTGAAGATAAAAATCTTAAGATAAGAATAAAGTTTTCTTATTCGAACCATGAAATTACTATCCAAAACATTTTCGATCAATCGATATTTTGTAATGTAATTCCACACACTACGTGGACAAAATTGCAGAAATCTGCTAGTAAATATATAAAATTCCATACAAAAATATAAAAATTTTGTATATAATCTTATATAATTAAATACAATTCGATCCAATTATTTTTTATCGAAATAAGAATAAATTTTCCTGAACAGTCATAGTAGTACACAATGATTAAATCTGTTTATTATCAATTTCGATTCGTTAATTAGAATGTTCCATTTATCGATAAAAGAAAAATAATCGTCATTGTTTCTACCAAACACTGCTCTTCAATTATAAAAACTAAAAATCTTCATATTAATCCTACCTACTAAAATTTTCAGGTGATTGCAGCACCTCAACGTGATCATCTTTGTGTAGCTATAGCTCAGGAATTAGAAAGAGTATTTGGAGGATATGTTTTACCACCATCTACTTAATATTTATAGCGAAGCGAGTTTTATTACTTTTAGAAAAAATAAAATAATGGTATATTCCATAATATATATTTTATTTAACTCACAACGCCGATAATAGACTACGCGACATAAATAGTGTCCGATTTTTGCAGTTTTTTTAAAATTCCCAATGCTTTTCTATATTAAATTGAGACACCATTTCTGTCGCGTACTGAAAATGTAAGTAAAGTTTGTGAGAGCTGAAACTAACTTTTTCTTTGTAGCTCTGAAACAAAAGACTACTTTTATTTCAAGTTGGAATCCATTTATTGTAAAGTAAACGTTCTATATTTAAAATAAATTTCATTTATATCTTTATGTGCACATCAAAATCTTATTCCGATATTTCATTCTGATGCTATTAAATTAATACAAGTGTTAAACAAAAAAATCCTAGTTTTTAACAACTTCTGAGCTTACACTGAAAAAAAAGGCTTAGTAAATTCAACTAAATTTTGTAGTTGATAAAATTTAGCTGATTGAATTAAAATTTGATTCAAATAATAAGAAATATTGTTGTATAACAAAAGCAAATTAGTTGATTCAATTCTAAAATATAGTTGAAAAAAATAGTTGTGTCAACTGAATATTTTATGGATTTCACTAAATTTTATTTCTTTTCAACTAGTATAATGTAGTTGATTTAACCACTAAATATCAATTGATTAGATTAAATATTTATTTTAGTCTAATTATTTTTATGCGCATACTCTGACTCATGGGCCTACATTTGAAGGTTGCTTGTTAACAATCAGTGTATATGAATATATATATACATATATATCCACGGAGAAAAAATTCCGTTAATTTTTATTTAAAAATCCATACACAAATTACCTTACTGGTCAAGAATGTGAGTTCAAACTTACTAAAAAGTAAAAAGTAATGATCAACATACAAAAATTATAAGTTACATAGGAAAACAAGTTTATTTAAGGTTAGTGATAATTTTGTTAGTTATATGGGCATTTCTCTGTAAACTGGGCAACTCGTTGTCTCAGGCCAATATTGTATAGTAAAATTACACATAATATCTGTTTCTTAGGTAACTATGAAAGATAAGAACCTAATCTATCTCTACTCACTGTTTAATATTTATGAAAATAAACTTTATTGTATCAAAATTGTTTTAATAGGTCTCCAAAACCAGTCCCCTGGTGTGTCACCAAACCACTTTACTTACTCCAGATTAAAATAATGAAAAGAAAAACTAGTTGAAACAATAAAATTGTATGATTATACAAACAATATTTTTTGATTGTTCGCGAGTTCTGTTCATTTTTAATAAATATTAATTTTATAATATTAAAAAAGTTAATTCAAGTTTGTCTCCACATTTTGTAAACAGTTCCCCTGTCCATATTTCAAATTACGCGGAATGTAGTATAAAAGTTAAACAACAGCATTACTGCGTGTAACGGAACGCAAACGATCTGAAGTTTGGCGCGGTAGCTGCCATTCCGCTCAGATGGCATTTTATTTAGTGCTACACGAGCGTCCCTCCGTGGAAGTCACGTCATAACCTGTCGGCCACCAGTCCTCTGGTAAGGAGTATTTTTGATTCTTCTTATGTTATTAATTTATATCGTAGAAACTTTATTTCGTTGTAATAGATAAATATAACCTGTGTACAACAAAATAACATAGCTCAATTACATTTTTTGCTACCTCTCGATGAAATCAAATTAAACAGGCCCCTGGTGACAGTCTCCTGTTCTGTTGAGGAACAGGGGACTGTTTCTGCATCCAGGGGACTCTTTTTATTTTATGTTTGTCGTTGTTTTAGGTAACACACCTGTTTAGAGTATGGCGCCAAGAAAGAAAAAGCTCTCTAAGGAAGAGATTTTACAAAGAAAAAGAGAAGCTGAGCGAAAGAGATACGAGCGTATTAAAAACGACCCGCAGAAAAGGGAAGAGCTTAGAGAAAAAGAACGCCTTAAATACCTTAAAAAAAAAGAAAAGGGAACAAGAAAGCTTGTTGAAAACATGACTTTACGCGAATATCGGGAGGCAAAGAAGAAGTGGCGAAAGCATTGTACGAAATATCGTAATAAGAAAAAAGTGTTAGCAAATATTACGAACTCGTTTGTGAGAGAAAATACTCCAGATTCTGATGCAAGTAATTCATGTCGAATGTCAACATCTGAAGTTCTTGAATTAGTTAAAACAAAAATTGATAGAAACAAGTTACTAAGACATAAAATAAAAAAGAAAAAAGATGAAGAAATTAAAGCTCTGAAGAAGAAAGTTTTGAAGTACAAGAACCGCCTATCGCGGTTGAAGAAGGAAGAAAATACTAAAGATACACCAAATACTAAGTTACAGAAAATGGCAGATACTCCAGAGTGTAGGAAAGATCTAGTCAAAAGGGCACTTTTCGGTGAAGTGTTGAAACAACAATTGCAAGATAATTTCTCAGAGATGAAAACACTAAAAGAAAAAAGGCTTCTAACAAAAATAGTTTCGGGAAAGATTGTTGATAAATATAAGTTATGGCGAATGAAAAACGCAGGTGTGATAACCTATAAGAGAATTAAAATGGGAAAAACGTCTCATCAAATGGCAAGGAAAAAAAACATTTCAGAAGAATGTGTAAAAGCAGTTGTAAATTTCTTCGAAGATGATTCTAACAGTAGACAAGGAGCGGGAAAAATAGAATTTATCACTAGAAAAGCGGAACGGAAACAAAAGCGATACAGGCTTGATTCATTGCTTGGCTTATATACGAAATTTAAACAACAGAACAGCAATTTTAAACTAAGTTACCAAACTTTTTTTAGACTACGACCATTTTGGATTGTCATGCCCAACGTTGACAGACGTGATACTTGTTTGTGCATTAATCATGCAAATATAGACTTGAAATTATCAGCTTTATTCAATGGAAAGATTTTAAATTATTACAGCCATCAAAAATTGCTGCAGGAGATATGTTGTGACCGCTATAATGAGAAGTGTTTGTCTCGAGAATGTAAAAAGTGCGTTGATAAGAATCCTGCATATAAAGAATTTGACGATAGAAAACCAATCATTTACAAAAAATGGGTAATAGAAAAAAAAGATTTTATAGACGCAAAATCGAAAAAGACTCGTCGAGTAACAAAATACATTAAGAAGTCTTTCAATGTGAAACCCCGCGAACTCATTACAGAATTGCAAGGAGATCTAGCGAACTTTCTGCTTCACGAAAGAAATATTGTACACCAGTTCAGTGCTATAAAAAACATAAAAGTAAGTTGACAGAAGAAGATGTTCTAATACATATGGACTTCTCTGAAAATTACTCCACTAAATACTGTCAAGAAATTCAGGCTTTCCATTTTGGCGGGTCACGTACACAGATTAGTCTACACACAATAGTAATATATTTGAAAGAAAATATTAAATCTTATTGCACAATCTCTACAAATGTTTCTCATTCTCCAGCTGCCATTTGGGCTCATCTGGATCCAATTTTTAATGATTCGCCACCTGAAATTAAAAACCTTCATTTCTTGAGCGATGGTCCAGTAACTCAGTATCGAAATAAAACAATGTTTTACATCATGGCGATAAAAATACCAAAACGACTTCCCCATGTACAAAAATTTACTTGGAACTATACGGAGAGTGGCCATGGTAAAGGTGCTCCGGACGGCATTGGAGCTACATGCAAGAGGACTGCTAATGCCGTGGTTGCTGCAGGAGGTGATGTCGAAAATCTGGATAAATTTGTCGAAGCCATTAGAGATGTCCTAAAATTAGTTTGAGCATTATACTAGATGATGCAATTAAAGAAATGAGTGCTGAAATCGAACGAGAAGCAACCAAAGTGAAAAATTTTGTAGGCACTCTCAAAGTACATCAGGTTACTGGAAAATTTTATAATTCTTTGGGTATAAAATCGAATCCTCTTGAGATAGTGATGAAAAAGCTAAGTTGCTTTTGTGACAATGATTGTTGTCTACACTTTAATATCGGAAAATTAATTTATGAAGGCAAGACAAAACTTATGGTGGAAGATGTGTTCACCGAATCAGAATCTGAGAATGAAGCTGGGCCTAGTTTGGCTTCAGTGAAAGCATTTAACACTGGTGACTATATCCTTGTCAAATTGCTTGGCAAGAATATAGAATATAGATATGTGAGCGTTATTGACAAGATTGATGAAGAAGATGGCGAAATCCGTGTCACATTCTTAAAGCTCTGTGATGATAAAGGCCAAATATTTAGATTCGATCAAGACGATGTTGCAGATATTACAATAGACCAAGTGGTACAGACACTTCCCCATCCAAATATATATTTAAAAGGGAATAGAATATTTTATAAATTTGACACTTCTGTTGATGTTTTTGAAAAACAATAAGACTTTCTTTCACTTCTTTATGTGATATTTTTATGATTATCTTCTATTATAATGAGACTGATTCTATAGTTCAAGATTAAAAGTAGTTAAACGTACTTTTAATGTATGTGATTTTACTTAGTACTAATTACTATTAAGACTAAGATAAGAAACAAAGGTTTACTTAAAATTCGATTAAAAGTAAAATATTATAAGAAGACTGTTGATTTTATATGTTTCTTTATTGTTCAGTTATTTAATTAGTGAACTTTAAAGTTTAATAAAAAAAAAAATGTTTTATTTTGGTATTATGATGGTATTTTTCATTTCAACACACAGTCCCCTGATATAGACAACAGTCCCCTGTAACGATTTTTTAGAATAAGCTCAATATTTCCTAAACTAATAGAAATATTCTTGGTTCCTTTGCCATGTTATGCTAAATAGATGAATATTTAACGCCTAAATAACAATTATTGAACATATAAGCAAAAAAATTGCCAAGACAGCTTTCCTATAGGAAGTTGCCCAGTTTACAGAGAAATGCCCATATAAACAAATAAATAAATAAATTAGGTTCATTGATAATTAACTTTCTTAACTAATTCATTCGTTAGAATGAATATGGCACGTTTTACAATATTGACCCCCCCTCCTCCCTATCTCTACGATCGAGATCTTACGCAGAAAACCTGTGTCGTCGATACAACCACCCAGATCTCCGAAGAGATCTTCCTCCCGCTCACGGTGACCCGAGAAAAATCATATAAATGACTTTTGTCTCGACCGGGACTCGAACCCGCGACCCATCGTGCGTCAAGCTGACGCTTAACTATGAGTCCACCGCGTCAATCCGTTTAAGTTTATAATAAATTGTAATGATATAACGTGTTGCCGCCAATATTAAATCGTAACGAAAAATATGAATGTCATCTTTGTTTACAATATTGAAAAAAGTAACTATAGCACTGAGGGTGTTCACACAATCAAAAACAAAAGCCGTAAGGTGTACGCATGCGTGCAAACCAATTTTTAACTTATTATGTTATTATGATATTAGTATGCACGCATACATCTTAAATTGTACGTTACAGCTTATGTTTTTGATTGTGTGAACAGTCTTCTAATACAAAGAAAGATTGTGTTAGACCAATAATTCGAAGATTCCCGACCCAGCACGGAAACTTTCAAGAATAGAAAAATTTATAGGAGAGTACCCAAATTTTTCCTACTACACGGTTCATAATAAATTATATACCGATTCTCATTTTTTTCTAGTCACTTACTAATTTTTGTTTAAAGTTTAAATAAAAATTAATATTACCGAATATTACCGTGCTGCATAAGAATTTTTACTTTTACTCTTTTTAATAAATATTGAATCTATAACAAAAATTTTAAAAGGATTACTAATTTTTCTTTGAAGGTTGTCTTAATTCTTTAGGGACTTTTTTGTATGTTAAATCTGATGCAAGAAAAGTATTCTCTGGGGTCACTTGAGTACCTGGAAAGCGTCGCTTTAATATAAGCCTGATAGTATAGTCAGGAAACCATGATTAGTACTCATACGGAAGTTTGGTGACTATCACCAAATTTCGAGAACAGTTGAAAAGTATGCACAAATGAAGAATCATTGATATCCATCGATAAAAGAAACTTTCAAATCGGAAAATGATGTAGATACAATTAATGAGGAGAAATATCTGTTACGCAAATCGAATAAATGATCAATTTTTGTACTATTTATAATTTATTAAAGCATTCTGTTCTATCAAGATAATTTTTTTTTGTTATCTTCGATAGGAATGAGATTAGAGTGTCTGCTCATCTGTCCGGGGCAATCTTGGGCTGAACCGATGTCGATGAAACATTGCAGACATGAACAGAAAAATGTCATGAATGACATAGACTACTTTTTGTTTATGTGAAATGTTTACAACAATTAAATTTGTTATGAACAATAAAAAACGAGATCTATGCAATTTAGTCAAGTTCTCTCCACGGAACATTTTTTCTTTTACTAGAGAAAAGTTACACAGCATGTAACTTGCATCGAAATTAATTCTTTGTATTTTTAACAACTGAATTCGTTATAAACAATGGGAAATGGGATTTATACGATGTATTTAAGTTCTTCCAACGGGAAATTTTCTCTTTCATTTAATAAAAGTTACTAACCATGTAAGATGAATGAAAACGAATTTTTCTTATTTATGATTACTAAATTTGTTATGAACAATTGAAAACGGGATCTATGCAATAAATTCGAGTTTCTTCACCGAAAATTTCTTTATTTTACCGGAACAAAGTTGCAAATTATGTTACATAAATGGAAATGATCTTTTTCTGTTGACAACATTGTTCCTTTGATTAAAAAAAATTACCGACTACATATCATAAAAAAATAAAATGTCGAAACTAATTCTTTGTATTTTTAACAAATTTTATTTCAACATTTAATATTATTTTAATTTAATATTAGCGGCAACACATTATATCATTACAATTTATTATAAACTTAAACGGATTGACGCGGTGAACTCATAGGTAAGCGTCAGCTTGACGGCACGATGGGTCGCGGGTTCGAGTCTCGGCCGAGACTAAAGTCATTTATATGATTTTTCTCGGGCCACCGTGAGTCACCAAACTTCCGCTTACACGTATATATACAGGGAGAAAAAATTCCAATAAAAATTACCGTATTTAGCACAACAATCCACGTGCAAAATATTTTATCACATGAATTTTAAGTATGTTTTAATTAGATCACTTATAGATAGCAGTATTTGTCGAAAAATGTCGAAAACAATTTCAATATTCTACCTCTAATTGGTTAGTAAGAGTCGTCCAAAGAAGGGCTCAACTAAAGTTGCGCCACACGCCCCGAGTCGAAAAATTTCGACGGGTCTTACATATTGATTACATCGTTATAACATAACTTTTACATTGGATACATTGCCAAAAATTTTTATTTTACATTGCTAAGATCATTCTTACATTGAAAATGGTATAAGCAATGTTAAATTAATATATGGCAATATTAGCAATGTAAGAGTAAGATTATTAAGGTTTTATATGTAAATCTTGAGTTCACATTGGTTACATTGAAAATAGTTTCTAGTGATATAACCAATGTCAAAAAAGAATATCGTTAACGGATGATTATTGTTTTCATTTTTCTTAACTTCCATTAGGAAGTTATTGTAATTGGGTCGATTGGTGAAATTTGGATTTTCATTAATTCTCCACGTTTCAAGATATTTGCAAGCATAATGACATATTTTTAAAATGATGTGTGTGTATGTATGTACGGACGTCAACATTTTTTTTGTTTTCGATATCTTAAGAACGGATCAAGATATCAACTTCAACCAAAATTAATTCGAAAGATATTATTATAAAGAAGACCTGAAAGAAATTTGAATGAATTCGATGAAGCCGTTTTTTTTTATAACAAAATATCTAATAAGAAAATGAAAAGATTAGCTATTTAAAATACTTTTAAGCCAAACAATAACAATTTCATTTGAAAATTAAGTCGATATTGACTAGACATTATTGTTCACAACCAAATATGACTCTTAACAATTACGAATTTTTTATAACAATATAAATTTGTTATAAACAATTAAAAATTGTATTTATCGATTAACTGATGCGTATATCACATGGATTTGGATGTTTTCAACAAACATTGATTACAACTATTAAAATTTGTTATAAAAAATTATCAATGGGAAGTTCGTCGTGTTAGCACAGACAAAGTGTGCTCAGACCTATTTTTTTATTAAATATTTCGTAACAATGGTAATTTATTACTAACAATATTTCAACTGTTGTACATAGAATTCAACTGTTTATTAACAGAAAAGAGAAAAAAAAATTATAAATCAATGTAGCACAGTGGGAATCGAACGGTAAGCGCGATCTTAAAGTAAGCAACATTTAGGCCAAAAAATAGATGGATGCCCGAGGCGAAATTTTTCTAAGGACTTTTACATTGCCTACATTGAATTTAGAAATATGAGAAATGTAAACTCAATGTGAACCAAATTCAAACTTCAATGTTTAGGATGACATTGCTTTCATATTAAAAATGTGGCATAATTCCCTTTTCAATAGTAGCAATGTGAATCTAAGGTCATCTATGAATAACAAAGCAATGTAATAATGACGAAATAAATGTCATAAATTAAAGGTAGGCAATGCAAAGGAAATGTGACAAGAAATGTTAGGCAAGGTAGAAGGAATGCAATCGTTCACTAAATTTTTCAGGGTAATAATTAATGTTTTCTGCAAAGTTCATTTCATATTCTTTTAAATTCGGCCTGCAAATATTCACTGATTTTTAGTGCCAATCTAATTATTAGGAAGTTTATGAAAACTTTTGATTGACACACAAGTTCAGAAAATATCGGCTTATCGATTTCAAAAGTATATAAAATGAACTTTGCAGAGAACATTAATTATGACCCTAAAGAATTTGCTGAACCATTACATTAGAATAAAATATTTACAAACAATTTCTTTTACCGATAAATATATATTTATAAAATGAAATATATTAAAAAACCTTTCAACACTGATACAATTTAGAAACTATGAAACTATTATATTCTTCAATGAAATTCTTATATTAATTTAAACATCCATTAATTAATTAAGAAATGATACAACTAGTGATATTATGTGTCTTTTTTATTATTTCTATTTTCTTCTTTCTTTTCAGTTTTTTTTGAATATTGCCTTTTATTGACTATTAATTGATTTATATAATGAATTATCTGTCCCCTTCGAACCTCCGGATGTCTCTCTCTAATCCAGGCTGAAAAGTATCAGTTAAAAGTTTAATTTGAAAAAGTTAAGAAAACGTTAAATTGAAATCTGATAAATATAATAATAATTATTACCAACCGATTATTCCATTTAAGAGTCTCTTATTGATTCCCGATCTCCCAGTTTTTCTGGTGGCAGAAAAATGTATAAGACTCTTTCCGTACACTTCCCCTAAAATTTGTCTCAAAAAGGTAGTCCAATTTTTGTCTCTTTCATATTCTAAAGTGAGTAAGGTT